TTCATCTTTGCCTTATACTGGGCCCTTGTAGCTACTCCCACTATCTTAGTCTTCTTCTTGAACCCTTTTCTTTGAGTTAGACTTTCAGTAAGTGGAAAATCTGTTCCAATTACTAGGTTACATTTCAAATTAGGGATAACTCATACCACCATTGCCTGTTCCCTTCCCTGTGCCTGTGCTTTGGCTTTGACCAATGCAACCATCTCACTCTGCCCAAAGATACTTATAAGAGGTGTGATGCTGCCTTTTTTAACTAAATGAAGCTACACCAATGTTCATTTACTCCCAATATCTACTAAGCCTCTCAAGGTCACCCCATTAGCTTTTGATGAGATTTTTTTTTCCAAGAGAACCTTGCACACTGCACCTATCAATCTGAGCAGGAACCCCTCAGATCTGCCTTCTATGCCTGCTATCAACTTCTCCTAATAAAAGTTTTTTTTAATGAACCAGTTCCAAGAGTCCTGCTTTCTTGGGATGAGGTTTTGAAGTGGGCCCTGGCACAAGGCCTTCCCCATTAAACATGGCAAGTCTGTCAACCTTTCACTCTCATACTATTAACAAGAGGTAGCAAATATTTTGAACATGGTGAAATAAGCTTCTGTATTTTCAGATGCTGAGTGGGGAATTCCAGGCTAAGAAAACTGACTCAAAAAAGGCAGAAAACTGCTGAGGGAATTGTCTTTACAATTCTCTTATTGTTGTCCTGTCACCCTCCATTGTTTAGGACCATCCTGGCAGCATGTCGTTCATGCTCAGTCTGAGCTGCCTTCCAAATTTTTAATTAGATTGTGGTACAGTGCCCAGACTCAATTTCTGTGAGACGTCTGGCCATATAAATTTGATTAATGAATCACTAAGGAAACATCAACAACACGAGTCTTCGGTGATCTCTGAACTTGGTTGTTTTCTTATAGACATTTCATTATCCAAACTAGATAACATCTAGAACCAAAGACCACTCTCATTTTAACCCTGAGCTACAAATATTCTCCTTTATTGATATCAGGAACAGCAAAAGACCTAGCCTAATCTTGAAGTAATTGGGCCCATTTGGATCTCCAGAGAAGCTCTTCCACAAGACAGGGATACTGTTAGATCGCGCAGGCAGTAAGACACGAGTCGAGTGACAGTCAGCTCTCGGTTTATTGGCAAGGCATCAAGTAAATCTGGACTGGCTCTCTGGGCCAGGGGAGCCCTCTTTTATGGGATTCCNGGGGGGGGATACAAAGAACACAACAGATACCAGAGAGAAGAGCTGATTTCTGGATACAAAAGGACGATGTGGCTTCATAGACGGGATGCCAAGACTCTCCCTGTGCTAGCTCTGCCCTGGGCACATTAGATGCCAAAAAGTTATTGGCTTAACCCACTCCACTTTCTGACATATTTTTACATGTATCTAACCAGTTTTTAAAATTCATTTATATTCTCTTTTCGGTGCTTTTAGCTTTTTCTGTTGCTTTTCTCTTTCTTTTTGGTTCTCTCTATTCTAATTATGTTATATTGCTGTTTATTAGAAGAGGATCCACCCACTGTTGCAAAGGCCTCTACTTCTTTTTGCCATCCAAGAGCTCAATCAGCATTTCCAGCTCTTTCCCTATATCCAGCTGGATTACAATCTCCACAACAATTATTTATATCCCAAAATAATTCGGGATGCTGTGCTGGACCTGCTCTCAGTTGGGGAGGCCAATATTCCTAGCTCTAGCTGTAGAAAGCAGAAAGACCTTTTCATTGTCCTTAAAGGAACTGAGATTGACATTGTTCTGTCCCAGCCTATGTCCGTTCTTGTTACGTCACAAGAACAAACCCCTCTTAAACATTAGGCTGGGAAAACCAACCTCTTTTTATTTTCAAAACAGTCCTGATAGGTTTTTCTCCAAAACAAAAACACAGAATACTTTCCTAACAGGTAATTGATTACAAAAGCAAACAGAGCAGAAGTTTAAACAAGAAATTTACTGATTAAACAAAACAGACCATGATCCTTGGAAGCTCTTTACAAACGGTTGCGTTCAGCAACCAACACTGCCCACACCTTCCCTTTTTATAAAGCAGTCCCAAGGCGTAGCTTCTCAATGCCTTCTCCTCCTCCCCTGGAATTGTCGTATTGACTGCTGCTGATCTGCTCTAGATAATTGCCTGCATCTACGAGCATCAATCATGCCCATCAGGTGTGAATCCTCCAAGTCTGACTCATTCTCCCCACATAGCTGAGCTTCATCCGGAACACGACTGGAGGGCCTAGGCTCTTCATCAAACCATGAGTCTTATAATTCATCAGAGCCTCCCTCTGACCCTGATGGCCCTCCAAATGCCTCCTCCACCTCCTCCTCAGATTCCCCAGACTCAGCTGTTGGGAACACAGGCTGGCACAGAATCACGACAGACATATCTTCTGAGAATGCCACCATGTTAGCCACCTATCTCATTCCACAGGTATTTCCATCACTTTCTGTAGGGGTCAGTAGGAAGAGGTGCAACAACTCAGCAGAATGAACAGATAAGCATTCCCAGTGCCCACATTTCTATCTGCAACTGCAGAAATCACTTGCTACAGAAGGATCTGGACAGACTTGAACACTGGGCGCTATCTAACAAAATGAAATTCAATAGTGAAAAAAGCAAGGTTCTACATTTAGGCAAGAAAAGCCAAATGCACAGGTACAGCATAGGGGGTACCTTGCTCAATAGTAGTAACTGTGAGAGGGACCTCGGAGTCCTAGTGGACAATCACCTAAATATGAGCCAGCAGTGTGCTGCAGCTGCCAAAAAGGCCAACACAGTGCTAGGCTGCATTAACAGAGGGTTAGAATCAAGATCACGTGAAGTGTTAATACCATTTTACAATGCCTTGGTAAGGCCACACTTGTAATACTTCATCCAGTTTTGGTCACCACGATGTAAAAAAGATGTTGCAACTCTAGAAAGAGTACAGAGAAGAGCAACAAAGATGATTAGGGGACTTGAGGCTAAAACATATAAGGAACGGCTGCTGGAATTGGGTATGTCTAGTTTAATGAAGAGAAGGATGAGGGGGGACATGATAGCAGTGTTCCAATATTTCAGGGGCTGCCACTATGAAGAGCAAGTCAAGCTATTCTCCAAAGTGCCTGAAGGCAGGACAAGAAGAAACGGATGGAAACTAATCAAGGAGAGAAGCAACCTAGAACTAAGGAGAAACTTCCTGACAGTTAGAACAATTAACCAGTGGAACAACCTGCCTCCAGAAGTGGTGAATGCTCCAACACTGGAAGTTTTTAAGAAGAGACTGGACAGCCATTTGTCTGAAATGGTATAGGGTTTCCTGCCTGAGCAGGGGGTTGGACTAGATGACCTCCAAGGTCCCTTCCAACTTTACTATTATTATTATTATTACTCCATAGCAACTATTAACTTTATAATATTTTATTTCTCTTTTGCTCTCAAAGCTGAACATTCTATTGCACACCACTAATATCATCCTTTCATGCCTTTTCAGGTCAGGTGTGCTTTGAAAGAACAAAATCTGGTGTTATGCAGGTCCTTTACTCTTCTATTCTCCTATTTTATAAACTGCAGATAAAGCATTTCCATTTTCTTATATGAAACATCAGTTCTCTTTGGATGGGCAGACAAGATGGCCACAGAGGAGGAGGAGGAGGAGGAGGAGGAGGAGGAGGAGGAGATTGAAAAGATCTTGTCCCAAAAACATTTCATTAACTTCATAGTGTGGATTGTGACATGGGCTTTAAATGGTACATAGTCAATTAGGACCAATTAGGGTTTCCTGCCTGAGCAGGGGGTTGGACTAGATGACCTTCAAGATCCCTTCCAACTTTACTATTATTATTATTATTATTAAGAGGATGAGGAAGGCTGAAGACTTCTAGGATGCTAGGAAGATATACCCATAATACAGCCAAGAAGGACAATACAGCTAACCATACATATTTCTGCTATATTCAGGAATAAATTTTATGATTTCAGGATGGCTATTTTGTGAATAGGAACTCCTTGCAAGCTTCTATTTTAAGAAAATAAGAAAAGGTTTTTAAATAAGGCCAGTGGCCATATTCATGACAAAATGACCACCCAGATACGTCTGTAGAGTCCACAGGCAGGAGACATATGAACTATCCAAATTTCTGACTGGGTGTTTATGTCTAACCTCACCCCTCTTCCTTACAACACCCACAGGATAATCAATTAGATAAGCGATTCTCCAGCTCTTTTGGAATTGTTTTCTCGTAATATTATCAAACTGTACTTTAGCTCCTTTCTTATTTAACTTCTACATAATAACTTAGTTAACCAGTTGGATAATCCAGACTATGCTCTTCCTAATATAGCTGAAATGTGTCTTTCTATTTTCCTTATGCTGATGATGCTGAAATCCTGGGGTCTGATGCTGCAAAGAACCCCAATTGAAGATAACTATGATTTCAATTAAAAAGATGGTAGTTTAAAGCCTCACCCTGCATTTTTTTCTGGCATATCAACAGCATTCCTATTGTGCAAGTGTGATGTTTAAAATATCTTGCTGGGACATATCAGGGCTAAGGTAACCTAAGGGCACAGGATAGTAGTTGCTATCTCAACTACTCAAAGAGCTAAGCAACCATTTTGCAATTTTGCTGGACAAGAATGGAGGACACTATTGTATGAATGCTTTTTAATGTTTTAATTTAACTTAATTTAATTTTAATTTAATTTTAATTTAATTTTTTCAAGTAAAATGCATTGAGAACTGTGTGGACCATTTCCTATGTTTATCCTACTTGAAATTTTTGAGAGTTAATTTCCTCTCTTCACATTTCTACATTTCTTCTTGTCGTAAGTTGTTCCTTTGTATTCAGGTCTGGCCTCAGAATGATCGTGTAGCATTTGGGGATGAAAATGCAGCTGAGCAGACCAGCACTGGAGGACAAAATGGAGAAGACCTGCACAGTCACCATGTATTTCCCTTTCGTGCTCAGGTAGGTGGGCACAAAACTCACCCAAACACTGCAGAAGACCAGCATGCTGAAAGTGATCAGCTTTGCTTCATTGAAGGCACTAGGCAGATTCCTGGCCAGGAAAGCCACTGTAAAACAGATGGAAGCCAGAAAGCCCAAGTAGCTGAGGGTAATGTAGAACATGACAACAGAGCCTTCGTTGCATTGCAGGATGATTACTCCTGGCTGAGAGTAGAGGTCAGAGTCAAGGAATGGGGGAAAAACTCCCAGCCAGATGGAACATATCATAATTTGGACAGCAGAACAAGAAAGGATAATGGAATTGGCCAAGCTCTTCCCCAACCATCTCTTAAATTGTTTGCCTGGCTTTGTAGCAATAAAAGCAAGCACCACTGTGATTGTTTTGGCCAAGAGAGAAGAAATTGCAACTGAAAAAATGATGCTGAAAACAGTTTGTCGGAGAAAACAGGTGGCTTTCCTTGGTTGACCAATGAAGAGAAAAGGAGACAAGAAGCAAAACAGGAGGGAGACCAGGAGGATGTAAGAGAGGTCCCGGTTATTGGCTTTGACAATGGGAGTCTCTAGATATTTAATGAATATGATTAAGACAAGGACTGTGGTTAGGAAGAAAAATAGAGCAAAAGAGACAAGGATGATGCCCAGATGTTCTTCATAAGACAGGAATGTTATAAGTTTGGGGACACATTGGACTCGTTCCTCATTTTGATATTGAATATCTGGGCACTTGGTGCATTTTTCTGTATCTGAGAAAACAAAAACCAATATTTCTTTAACATTCTGTCCTTTACATTTTAAGTAACATTTTTTGGGATAACAGCTGATATTAGCAGTGTTTTGTAAAATTTATTTCTTAATATCTCCTCAAAAAGAAAATAGGA